CATTCGGTTGATTTATTCATACGTTTAGGTACCTACAGGTGTATTATTTTTTCTTAGGAAAGTGTGTACTGCAAGCAAGCCACAAGCGTAGCTTTTACCAGTATTTCTTAATAAACAAATATAATTGAATCCATTAACTATTTTTTATTTCTGAAACAAGAATAAAAGCTGTCAGGAATATCATCAGCACGTACCTATATACTTTAATATTAACACCAATAGTTTGTTTAAAAACGATGACAAGATATGGCGGAAGATATGATTAGTAGCTGTAGAGCTCCTTGAGAAGTACTGCCACCTTGCCAATTTCAGCCGCCAAGCTGTAATGGGAGCATTACTTTGTTCCGGGTTTTAAGGGGTAAGAATGCTGCTGAAATTAGACACATGAGACTTGTCAAGTTTAGGGCGACGGAGACACTGTATCTGTTATGGGCAGGCGTGTCGCTTACCACCAGGCGCACGACTTATTCGTCCCGTCGCTTGACGTTATAAAAAACATTCCTGACTGTGTCATAGTACTAGGAATAGTTGAAATGGTAGAATGGAATTTCCTGGACGTTCCTGACAACTTTTATCCTTGTTTTTTGCTGTGAAATAATATATGCTTAGAAAGTTTCAAAGAACAATATATTGTTTTTTTCCCGACCGAAAAATATTATCTATAATCTTGAAATATAATATGTGTGGTCTGCTTTGCGGATAGTTCCAATCAATTTCTACATTTCTACCAAAACAACCACGTGCAGGTACTTGCAGTTTCGTAAGTACCTACCTATACATATAGGTAAAATTTCGGTATTTTTATAGTAGGTAAGTATTTGTTAAAACAGTACACAGTATCTACTTAACTAGCCGGTTACTGTTGTTACAGCGTCTAAATTACACTAAAATTAATAATTGTTTCATTAGAAATATGGGTGCGTGTGTGTGTACCTATAAATAACAGAATTTCTGACGTGTCCTTAGGCACATTATTTTTTCATTGATAACTATATCAATTTTATAGGTGAGTCGGAATTAGTAGAGGCGCCGTAAAGTTGCCTGCTTATCGGTATTCTACAGGATATAATCACGAAGAGTGTGCGATGGAATTACACGATTTCATTCCGCCTTCCCCTTTCCATCATCAGGGGACTAGACGTAGGCTTGGGTTTCACCCCTATGTTGTGGATATTCCAAAGATTTTACGCTTCCAACGCTTCCGAAGCGTTGAGCTTCCACATTTATATGGCGAACGGCTACGGAGTGAAATTTGCCTTGTATCATTGTAAGCTTCTGTATTTACAAAACCACCTTTGTCCAATTGAAGCAAGAAATTACGAACTAAACTCAAAATTTTATATTAGATCTTTTTTAGTTTTGTAAATTCGAACACCTTGTCTTAATATAGTAAATGTGAATGTTCGTTTTGTAAATCTCAGCCTTAGCATCATTTAGACTCAATTTACATTTAAATTCGCCACGAAAAGGCGTGCAGTCGCGGGAACGCTCGAGCATTTCTAAGAACTCCCGTGACTGCGTCTTAAGCCTAGTAGGTGTTCAGTTGGTTGTTTAAGATACCAGTAAGACTAGCCCGACAGGGCGCGACTAGCACGAGAGCCACAAAAAGCGCAAGATACCTACTGCTACTTTCTGTCGCTCTCGCACAAGTCGCGCCTTGTCCTACTAGCCCTACAAGGTGTGCCTTAATTCCAGCGTGACCATGGTCGACTATTTGAAATTTGACTAGAAAGTCGCTATTTAGTCGGTTCTAGTCGCAAATAACTAGATTTAGTCAGTCCGCCGTTCAAAAGTTATAAGGGCGTTTTACTGTCCATCCTGGAATAAGCTTATTCCAGCAGCACCATTGCTCAATCTCGAGAACCACAACACCTAGCTTAGATCTGATTGCACTCAGAAAAACTCGTGAATTAGCCGGTTCTGGTCGCAAAATTAATTATTCGCTCCAAAGCCTACTTACGGACGTTACTTCGCTATTGTCGAGGCCCGGAATTGAAGAAAAGAATCATCAATGATTGAATATTATATTCTAAAATAATATTTACACGTCTTTAAAACATATCCATACAATAGTGATCGAAACATTTAAACATTCATTGGGAGTTTACAAGTTCAAGTAAATATTGCTTCATTTATAAGGCCTTTAGGCAGTCAGCACATATACACTGTCACCAAAATACATGAGCACACTTCATCACAAATCAATATACCTTAATGTAATGAGGACAACCGTGCGAACGAGTAGTTCCCACATTATTAACAGTTTTACTGTACTTTCACATACCACACTTTCAAATTATGTACAAGGTGTTCATTATATTTCGTAAGTAGGTAGGTACATAGCCGAGAGCGAGACCAACTAGAGAGCAAATACATAGTAGATAATTCACTTGCTTACTACCACATTTTTTATGTACTACTGTTTCAATTTACTTAATTATTTATTATGTACAGTCTGCATCAAAATCATTTGAACTTGTTATTTCTTTTCCACAATGGCGGCTACTAGGTTTGGCCAGGGTCAGCCAATTTGAATTTAATTTAATCGATTAACCTACTATTATTTCCTTTATGGCGGCCACTAGGCTCGTGCCATCGTCAGTTTTATAAGAATAATATAAAAATTATGGGATCATCGCCAGTTAATACTGACAAGTACTTAAGAACAAAAAAACTCGATTAACCTTACCATAAATAACTACACATGCAAAGTTGTCAATTCTATCATGAGATTTAGTTTCGAGTTTTGCCAAATATGCAAGTTAAGCACTTCAATAGAAAAAAAAGTGAAATGATTTTGGGTATACATGTACAGGGTCAAAAGCACGTCAAGCTTGACACTTAAGATTGAAATCCAACTCTGTGCCGCTTGCGATAAGAACGTCCAAAGCTCAAAGTGTACAGCTTGATGTGCTCTTAACTGTACATATTGCCGGTTTAATTGACCGTTCAGAGAACTCCAATGCTGACTGTACAGGCGCATAAGTACGTGTAAATCGACAGAAAACTCGTGAAAAATAAACTAGCCACCAGCAATTTTGGCTATTTGACAATAAAAATTTTCACAATTTTGGTAATAAAATTTTCATCAGTAACACAGGACTGCGCACGTTAGATTTCCGATATTTCAATCTACATTGCGTACTAAAATCTATACATTAAATAGACTCGTCTGCGCCTGAAGTCTGTCTGGCTCTCACAACACATAGATAAGTTATTCTCTTCAAAACTTTATAAGTAGTTTTATTTCGTTCCAAAAAACATAAATAATGTTCTACTGACAACCCGCCGTGAAGTGAGTGAGTGAGTTTTTCAAAGAGTCACCGATCGACCTACGACTTCTGTCGTACAGTTTACGCACACGAGTAGCGTGGTTGTGAAGTACCTGTACGTTTGCCCGCTTCTCCACTACTTACCGGGCTTCGGACTCTCGATTTCGAACAGTTTCGAAACTGACACCAGTTCCCGCCAAAGTAGTGGAGAAACACCAACACGTAGAGCAAGAGCGTGAGACGCACAGTGATTTTGGACTGGAAGCACACTTAAATACTTAACACCGCTCGGGGGTCCGTGGTGATGTACTCGCCCGGTCATCTAAGATTCTAGAAACCCCATGCCACAGAGCAGTGCCTGAATACCTCAATTGGGCAGTACAAACTACAGTACTAGTTAAACCAGTCAAGTACTCTAATATACGACTGAAGAGCTTGATTCTAAAACAAATCACAACGTCCACGCTAATTTGTTTTCATCGTATAATGAAAAACTAAATTACTACATACCCTTCAAGACATGCACGCGAAAAATATAAATGGACACAGGTATTTCAGTATAAATAAACTTAAAAAGGAATTGATAAAATTAAATAACCAATATCATAAAATTCCGTAGTAACCTTTTTTGGAAGAAAACATATTGGCATCATGCTTAATGAAAACACTCAATAAACGTACACTGTAAAACTTTAAATAAGCAGCGACACACCAGGCAAAAGTTCCAAACAGTATCTTCGTCGCAAACCAATTACAGCTTTTGTACATGATGCTCCGACAAATGGCGGCGGCGTAAAGTGACGTCCACAACGACACGTGACCGTGCGCATGCCGGAGGAATTCGCAAATCGGTTGCGAGGCGTGTTGCTTCACAAAACATGCCAAATAGAAATTAAGTCTATACAAATGATTATATTTTTGTTAAAAGTAATAATATATAAGTACATAAAATACTAAAAACTCTTACAACCATAAGTATAAACTAAAGTATAAAAACTATTATCTCATAAAACAACAAAATATTGTAATTATTGAAACGAACATAATAACAAGAGGAGACAAATGTGAAGCTAGTCAGCGCTACACATTTAAATAATCTTGAGCAATTTACATTACACGTAAGGGGCACTCTAAAACAGAGTCTGTAAAAAGAGTAGCAGAACCTGCCCTCGCGACTATTGCCCGTCGGCAAGTCGGCGATTGCATTTATGTTATTTTGGCTGCCAATTTACCACTACTGTCGTGTAAACACTAGTAACAAGTTGACAATTGTGGAAGCAGGAAGATTCCCGTTATTCTTACTGCTTTGCAATAATTGCCATTGCAATGATAACGCCACCTGCAACGTGCATCCGAACAGCAACTACATCACCAGTGCTAAAAAAAGGCGTGTGCGCTCTGCTCTCTGTATAAGAAATTTCAAATGGGTACCTGTAATGAAATGTTTTATTTTGTCCAATCAAAAAGTATGTGAGCCGATTACCATCAGTATGTGAGCGTGATAATTGCTAACTTTTATTTACGAAACGCTTGATTTTATTCTTTACATATAGGTATATACATACGTAATCACAGTTTTAAAGTTTTGCCTATGTAACGCTTACTTTCTCAAATAAAAATAGAAAATCGAAACTATGAATCTCATAAGAATTAACATTTGTGTTAAGAGTAAAGAAAGGTGTTACTACACGAGTAAATATCTTGCAACATTAGGTTCGCTACGTTAGGTTTGTTACGTGAGCGCAGCAGCCCGCAACAATTTTTTTTTTTTAACACAGCTACTTTTAAAACGGAAAAAGGATTTTATAAACTGTGTTAATACAATTACAAGCGTAGTAGAAGACATTAAGTTGCGAGTCGCGGTGAGTAGCGTATTCCTGTGGAGATTACTGTTCTTATTCGGTTACGTATTTGTCTGGTAGTGTTGTTAAAAAGGACACTTGCTTCGAAAATGTATTACAATAAAAATAACAAGTAAATTACTATTAGTACAGATTACTCGTTTGCATTCTATATTGTCTTATTTTTGTTAAGCACTGAATTATAAAACATTACAACACCTTCATGTAAGCGCTGTTAACGCCAAGTGTCTCTAGAATCTAAACTTATATTGGACTGCTATAATTTTAAGTTTCATCATTCAAGCAATCGAAGAATTCGGGATAGGGAAAGCGAGGCCTCGTCAACGCGATCTTGCAAAAAATACAAGACGATTACGTTTTTACAATTGATTATATTGATTGGTCTAATTGTTTTGTTTGTTTATAACCGACTATAAAAACAATGAACTGTTAAGGCAATCGATCCAATTTCATTATTTTCAAGAATTTACGTCAATGAATACTTAAATTTTGAATATGGCGTTTATATAGCCAACAGTTATAGAGTGGAATTCCCTGCCTACGGACTTGTTCCCTGAGGTACAACGTGGGCCTTTGCAAGGCGAGAGTAAATAGGCATTATCTAGGTGTGCATGCGCCATCGTACACTTCATCGTCACTTTCCATCAGGCGAGATGGAAGTCAAATGCGCACTCGTATTATATATATATATATATATAACGTAATCTCTAGTGCAAATAAATATGTAATTTAACTGTGTTAGTTTGCCTTCTTTTATCTTATAGATGGCATGCTAGAATGCTTGCAATTATGGTCAAAATCAACCGCTGCGCCGCACTCGCCGATTGTTGCCCAGGGTGCACACCACACGTACGTAATAGGCTCAAAAAAGTTTACCCAATAGTAAATTGATTATATTCCTCGTTATAAATAGTCATAGTAGTCACGCTTCAATGGCCGAAAGAGACTAACGCTGCGAGAGACTTTCTCGTGTAGGCGTTCAAAGATCAAAATAGAAGAAACAAATAATTATTAATTACATGCCATCTTTCGCGTAATTCCCGTTGTCAAAAAATAGATAAGAAAAAAAACAAAATTTGACCATCGTCTTGTCCATATGACGCAGGCAAGTGGTTTGAATAAACATTGAGCTAGCGAATTGGGCATTTCACTGCGCTATTTCTTCATGAATTACGCGTCGGCATATTCATTATCTCCTTATTTACGTTCCGACTTTTAAATGTTCCGTCACTTTTAATAATATACTATATTTTCTGGCATGGATTGTATCAAAAGTGAAATATGACGTCAAGGAGCATGTTCTTGTCAATCATTGACCTTTGGTAGGTCAATGTTGTCAATGCAGATTTATCATTGTAATTCCCAAGCAAACCTCTACAAGTTTACCCTGTTATTGAAATGTTGTTGCTGTAGCAGATTTTTTTTTATTTATTTAGGTATATTAAACTTTTTGACACGACAAATATTTACGGTGATTGTAGGAGCTAATTACGGGCCACGCCGTATGTCAAATGACAAACATTTTGTTGTATACACGCCATTTAAGACAATAATAAAAAGACGTCGTTTAGTAAAATGACCATACCTTTAGTCCTGCTGCTGAATAAACCATTTGGCTGTGAAATATAAATTACAGTGGCAATTCAGTGCTATAATTATCATAAATAATATTATTCCATTACTGAAATATATAATCGAAAACAAATTTAAAAAATAGTGACACTTTGCATGTCAACACGTCCACTTTACTAAAATACAAAACCACTATGAATTATACTAAAATCTAACAAAATTTACAATTTGCTTGATTTCATCGAGAAATTAAAAAAAAATATTGCGTCCTATACTTCATCATCTTTGGAAAACCGGCAATTTGTCACCATGTGGTATAAAAATTTGTTTTAGCTGTTGGAACAGTAAATGCAAACCAACTAACAGCTTTAAAGACTTTGCAAGTATAAAAGTCAAAAATTAATTATGTCACTATTTTCTTTTTAGAAAATACAAAAATAATAAAAAAAACTTTCTCAAAAATCTAATATGTCTACTTGTTACAACGTTCAAGTAGTAACCCTGAAGCAGCATTTATTTGCACTCCACTTCAGACACACAATATCACGTACAACTTACAGAATTATGGCAAAAAGGACACGCGAGGGGAACACTGACGGGGTGGAAGTTATGCTTACACAGATATACAGTATGTTTTCCTAAAATACTCAGCAAATGATTAAATACCAGTTTCACAACTACCAAATACACAATGATTATTATATTTAACGGTAACCTAATGATTATTGTAGAGGCTCGGGACACCCAACCACATCATCGATTGATTATTACGTAAATGATTGCACTATGTTAGTATTGAATAAATAAGTTAAAGTAAAACATTATGAACAACATTTAAAAATTGCACATTACATTTCAGGCTCACAATTACTATCATTGTGATGTTCACAACATAACCTGAAGGAAGATTCAAAACACGTTGGCCTACGTTTAGTGATAAGTCCTTGGAAAGTACTAAAGCTCACTTTATTTACACATATTAACTGAATATTATCAATATAATTATATACGCGTAACTCGTTACGAGTAACGCGCAACGAGTGTCATTGCCACTATCGTTATCGCAACACGTCACCGAGGAAATGTTATTTTGCCAGTTTATAAAAGGAAAGCTTAAAATGATCACAAACTTCACAAGTTACGGAAGGACGCCTTAAAATTACAGTGATAGAATTACATTTCAAACAGACGAAATACTTCGTTTATCATACATACCGAAGGCACATACGAGGTCTAGACGTTTTCATATAATTATGTATCAGTTGGCAACACCTAACTACCATCTTCGCCGACAAGAAGCATAATCTCAGTCATTTTCAACTACTTAAAACGACCTGGGCATCCCAATAAGCACTGCGGGCGGAGAGAGGTCCCGGATTCGATTAATAGGACCAATTCGGGAAACAAAGTTCTAAATTGATTCTGGTCTGGGTGTGCTGAATAGTGCCCCGGAGTTAATTTCGTTGCTCTGTTACTTAATCAATAGTACATGAGGTTCCCTAATTTGACACCATGTAATTACACATGGTTTTTATTTAAAACGTACAGCCAGCGGCTAAAAAGTATTCAAAATGTTCAAAATATCTGAACATTGGTAAAAATCACAAACTTGAGGTGCACAACAATTGAAAACGCTTAAACTCATTGTGACAAAGTTGATTTTTACTAACGTTCAGATGTTTTGAACATTCAGAACAATTGGACGTCAACAGTTCATAGAAATTTGTATGTATGAATAAACATTCCAAATAACAATTTTATACAAACAAAGCGCATTATAAATATTACGTAGAAACAAACAAAGGCCGCCAATATCTACGCTACTGTCTGTAATCGAAGTGCATGCAATAGTGCTAATTTATAACGGAAATATGGTGAAGTTTCTATAAAAAGCATGAGAATGTACCTAGAAAAGGATACATGTAGGAAAGTCCGATTATTATAATATCGCTCATTCCACGTCAAACCGAACAAATTGTAATCGACGAAATTTTGCACACGCGTTTTAGACACAATAATCAATAATCAAATCATATTCGCAAAAATACGATTTTTTTTAAATATGCACGGTTGTAATTGCAAGATGTCACAAAACATGTCCCTCGGGTGAACATTCGGCTGTATTGTTGGTCCCATTAATCATACAAAAAAATGCAAACGGTACATTTTAAGATTTGTCATGAGCTAAATTTAAAATTTGTTTTTGATATTACAAATCTATTTTGTACTAATACGTTTGAGTTTCAATAGCATTTTCAACATCGACTCATAAATTGAACATTCTAAAGAAACAGTGAAAATGTCTGATCTCAAACGAACCAAAAATTGGACCTCAAACGAGGAACTCGATAGGTCTGACGATGGGCTGGTTTGAATGTTCGCCCGCGATCGTCGCGAACTTATGACCACGCAAATCTTCTTAAAATACCTTCAAATTTTCAGGTAGAGGTAAAAACCTTATATTCCACTTCTGATAACCTTTTTTATCTTTGTCTGGAAAAATCAGTCTACTTCAGCGAGAAGTATAAGAAATAGGCGGGTTATAAATCTTACATCAGGCTCTGTTGCTTAAAACGCAGACGCATACAAATTGATATTGTACACGCACAGTGTCGGCTAAATTCGCACACCTCGTATGCTCCATTAATGTGAAGTTTGGAGTAGGCACAACAAAATATTATTGCTAGAAATAATTTTATAAGACAACCATGATTATACCTTTATTTTATAACTAAAAAGGGTCTACAAATTATATTTTAAACTTTAAAGGTCAGATAATTTGAAGAATAAAAAAGGGACGTCGTCCAAAAATAGACTTAAGAGGTTTTCAAATTTAGCAGACGAAGGCTTTATCAATGGCCCTAAATTCAATAAGACCCAAGGCAAAGGTGCATTCCACTATTTGATGTGTAGAACATGTTTGCAATAAAAAATCACATGCACCAACTAAAACAAGTGTTTGGTTTGACTTGGAGAGAGCGACGTTATAAATCGTCATTCTAAAATGCTAAGTGAAATAACACTAAACTGTTACTGATTCGATATGCTACGCGACGAGACGCTTCTCTTTTTGGCTGTGAATTTGACAATATCGGTAGGTTACGGCGTCAAACTAAATTACAATGTCGATGGATACCATCAGCAGCTGTTCACCCAGCATGGTTTGAATCTTTAAGAGGCTTTGTGCCCCATTCATTATTCCTTATTCATAAGTCATATTGACTGAAATTATTACAGATTATCACAAGGCGAGTTAGTGAACACGATGCGACGCGAGGCGGTCACCGCTCACGCTGTGTCGATGTCACCCACGTTAATTCTGTCTTCGGCTGCGGTCACGGAGAAACCTAAGATATTACGCGCGTCGACTTTCAGCATCTTATTCTTCTTTGTTTTCTTGCCTTTGCCCTTCAATTAAATAGAGGTTTAAATCCAAAGGCTTTCGCAACATAGAATTACTTTAAAATAAGCTTAAACATACTTTGACTTCTTGATAGTCCGATCCCGAAGTGGTGCGAGGATTAACGGCTATAGCTGGCGAGCAAAGGTCGTCAGACGGGGTAACCATCCCGACGCGCAGCAGCTTAGACCTGAAAATATACAATATATCTATCACTCATGCCATTTTGGAACACGTCGCGTTTATCCATGATAAACGCGCATGCGCGTCATGCGCGTGTCAAATCAAATCCTTACCTCCTCTCGAGGAACTGACGCGCAAAATCGCTAGAATCTTTGGATTCTCCCAAATAACATTTGACATAATCCTTGACTTCATAAGGCGATTCTATGTCTTTCAGGAAACCAACAAAAGTCGGGACTGAAAAGTGAAAAAAGAAGACATGACGTCTCAAATTCGTTTTTGAATACATTGCACTAGAACCATAACGACAAGAAACGTTTTTAGATTACCGTCAATCTTGGAGCTCCAAGATGTCAGGACAGTGGTGCACCACATCTCGAACTCGGCAGCTGGTGAGGTTTCCTTTTTCGAAGGAATGTTGAGGACCGGGAGGTTGATCACCGGCTTCTTTATCATCATTTTAGGAGGTTCCACGACCTTCGGTACCTCAAGTGGTTTAGAGGTTGGTGTCGGCTGCGGGTCCCAGAAGCCACCTACAGCAAATTAGTGTTAATTAGTAAACCTTTACATTTTAATAAACTCTCTCGAGGAGGACATACATATAGAACATTGTGCATATAAATATTCCCTTACAAAATGTACCTCCGTTTTGGTTATTTCCCCAAGGCACGTGGTTGACGGGCAGCAGTGGTGTAGCTTGTGCCTCTTCCAGGGCTTGAGTAGCTGCCGCCGCCGCGGCCGCTGCTTGCTTTCGAGCTTCCACCTAACAAAATCACGAACCAGCTTATTAGCAAACAACGCAATCCGCACGTTAACATTATGCTATTTGCCATATGCTTATAATAGAAGCCAAAGCAAATACGTAATATACTCTCACCTGGATTTCTGCCAAACTCTGCCCTGACGTAGGTCCTTTTTTCTTTGCCCACCCAAGGCCAGCCTGCATTTCCTGCGACACGTGACATACACTCGTTAGATGTCCAACCACACATCACAGTTACTTTTGAGTTAACAAGGTTAGAAAGATAGGACCCTCCATGTTGGAACACTTCTGCCGACGACGTAAAGATCGCAACGACGTGACGTCGACGCTCTAATTAGCTTAAATAATCCTTCCCTTGGAAATATACATAATAAGATTAGATTACCTGTTCTCTGGCCAGTGCAGCGGCCTGCTGTTGAGCGATGATCTGCATCATTTGCTGTTGTTCCTTTATTTGTTCTAACTTCTTCTCACGCTCCAGCCTTTGGATCTCGGCGAGAGTGAGTCCGGCCATAGAGGTGGCCTGCAGTGTCTGGTTGGCCGCTGCCGACCAAGGCGCTTTCTTCAGGGCAGACTCTGCCACTTGGCGCTGCTGTTGTACGTCCTGTCAATGACAACCGAGTTTATACATTCCCGCTCTTATCGATTTTACGGAGTATTTTAAAATTAAATTAAGCAGGTACCTGTTGCTTTTTATGTGCTTCAGTCTGTTTCCTCTTCTTCTCTTCCTCTACCGCTCTTTCTAATTCTTTCCTGTGAACAGTATATTGTAATTCAAATACGGGTTCATGGCATAGGCAGCGCGGTTTATATGCATAATAATACGGCTACCCCATAACAAAGCCTAGTAAGGGCTTAAGTCAACATTTCACTTTATTATTTCACTTTATTCAACTCTTTTTCGAGCGCCTAGGGAAGTTAAGTCTCCTGTACTTGCACGCTATGCTTGTAATTTCTAAAGTTAAAAACTAAAACTTTTCCCTGAATTAATGATTTTGACAACACATATCAAATGAGAAATAATCAATTGGATTTAACAAAAAAGGTTGAACTGTAAATATCCGCGTAAGCAAATAATATTTTTATTAGCCTTTAGAATTAATAAAAAAAATTGAATGATATCATTTTTTACATTTCTTGATATAGTTGTTTGTTATCAATCTCGTTTACGATCATCGACTGAAGAACTTTTTGTAATAAACCCAATGTACCTTTTACGCTCTGCTTCTTCTGCAGCTTTCATTTCTTCTGCCTTTTTCTTGAAATCCTTGGTCACACTCCTTTCGGATCCTTTTACGATAGTGAACCCTTCTTTGATCCATTCCTATAAATAAATAAAAAATAAAATACAAATCCAATTGTTCCTGTAAAAGTTGCTTGATAACGTGTTCACCTTTTTTTCTTTCTCTAATTCTTTCTTGTTCACTTTATCTTCTTTCTTGCCTTTTACGGGCGATACATCTTCCGATCTTTCCTGAAATAAGTCATGTAAAATACAATAACCTGCAAAAGCGTTTATCTGTCCCCCAACGAATCAGTGAAGCCAAAAGAACCAAGTTATATAGGCCATTTAAAAAAAAGTTAAAATTGAAAAAATTAGCGACCAGATTCCGCGCTGTAACTTTTAAATTACGCTCTTTCTCGAGTTTGACACACGAAAAGCGACAGCGAGGGTCGGAGGCCAATTTATTTTACCTCTGCCCTGGTGTCTTCTTCCTTGGACTTTAACTCAACTTCTTCCTTCCTTTCCTCTTTTACTTTCTTGCTCTTAGTTTTCGTGACATTATTCTCCTTATTCTTAGGCAATTTCTCTGTTTCAACTTTAGCCTGCTGCTTCACTGGTTTACCCTCAAATGCCGGTCTGCTTTGAGCTTGTTGTATTTTTGAATTAATGGTCTCAGCGGTCTGGTCAGCTTTCATTTTGTCCTGTTGTAAGAGACAAATAAAATGAATATTCCATGTGATTGAATATGTCAAAAGACGAATGTTATATATGTGATTTGTAAGGCGATAAATTTTGGCCATAAAGTGTATAGAGCTTTCAAATAAAGTGAACATTAGTATAGAGAAGATTGAACAATCAACAGTGTCCATGCACGGGGTGAGCAGCCGCCTGATTGAGGCATTGCATAATTATATGTGGTTAACTCCCAGACGAGTTACTCGTAAAATGGTCGTTTTTCGCCGAATTCGCCAGACTCGCCAGCAGCGAACACGGCATTATGTATTTGTTATTGCAGCTTTTAAAGGAAAGCGAATATGTTGCGAGTAAGACGAAAGTTGTTGATTGCAAGGTAGAAATGTAACAAGAAATAGTTTATACAGTTCTTTTTTAATGCGACAATATTTATGGGGGAACGGTATTATCGGTTGAATAATTCACCATAGTTTTATTGTATCGGATTATTATTTCAACCGAATTCGTCAGAACCGTGTCTAGTGGCGATAGTTTCTGCCTACGTATGGAAAAAAATAAATCTCCATATACTGAAACGTTTTCTCACGATAATACTCAAATATTAACACTTTAGTATTGAGTTGCATGATGTGTTGGTAGTTTAAAAGATTTAATATGTAATATTTATTGACTATCACGATGTGTACTACTATGATATTCAATTGTTTTTGTGAAATTACTCCACTAGTTTGTAATAATTATGAATACAAAGGTTTAACATCAAGAAAAATTCTTTCGATCCGGCTGGACTCGAACCAGCGCCTTCAGCATACCGCGCCGACGTTATCCCAACTGACCTACGGAAAGAACCAATGCCAATTACAATGAAAAAAATTAGTGTGATTTAAAGTTATTTGGAGGGTGGGTGGAACCTGACAATCGAATATGGTTTTAAAGTGCTTGTGGGCAGCCAGATTAAACAGAATCAGGAGCGTGCTAGTTCCAACGCGCTGGAGAATCCTTTAAGTAGGTACTTAATTTTTGATGAAGAACATAAAACAAAGCTGTACAAATATGTGTGTGGTATGAGCGCAAAAAAATACGAGAAAAATAACAGTGTAATAAGAGCGGTGTATCATGACATGAAAGATATATTAGCGGCAGTGCAACGAATACTGCAATGACTTCGCCTAATGAAAAGGATACACTTGTCCAACTAAGATATACGTAACAAAAAAGGCGAACTGGGTTACTAGTGGCAGATGCAGAGATAGGAGTGGCAATATGTATATCATATAGTTTACCTGGTGCTCTTGGCTCTCTGTCGACGCTTCTACAGCTGAACTAGGTTCCTTCAGGGTATCTTCTCGGATTAGTTTCTGCAACTCTTCCAAATTGGGCGTCATACCAACATTGGGGGGGAAAACATCATCTTTGGGTGGTGGTGGTATAGGGGGACCTGGTTCCCTGGGTAAAGGTATATTCTGCAGATTTATGTTTTGCGAAGCTCTGAGTTGGGCCAAAATCTCATCTTCAGTTTTCATTTCTTTCGGCATCTCCTCAGGTAGAAGAGAATTTGAGGTGATAGCCGACGGCTGGAATGATTTACATTATTTTTGTAGTAGCAAGGTGTAACCAGCCATATTGTTTGCCTTTGCAGAGGTGTTCATAGTGTGGTTAACTATATCTAATGGAGAATGCCTTGACGACTAACACGAGGCGGGGTGTATCAAAGTAGTGCCGTAATGAAACGTGGTTAGTTAGCAAAGCCCGATATGTTGTGTACAGAATAAAATCGACGGTTAATTCCTCTTTAAAAATGTAACTCTTTGAAAATGTAAACGTCTACGTACTAGGTGGTAAAGGAATTTGTATCCTGACTCCGTATTCTTATAGTGAAAGATAACGGAGTAAGGTCTATGTTTAAAATGCAACAACAGATTATGATTTGTTTAATGTTTATAAATTTTCAAACATTTATTTCGCATAAATATGTTACAAGTTTTATGTTGTGGCACATGAAAATAACAAGTAATAGCCCTAGTGAAGAAATAACTTAGTATGTAAAGAATATCAAATAAAATAGATAACAAATTTTCTTAAATAATAAATTATTCAGTCAGATACGATCAAATCGCTAGAGCTTTGCAACAATGATATCCTTTAGCCTTTCAATGATATCGATTAATAACACGATGGCTGCGATATGGCCTTACTTGCTGGCCGAATATAAAGCCGACTGGCGCCCTAGTAACCCGGTTAAATAAGACTTGTAGCGATTTTTAATTAGTTTATTTTAGTATGTATACATACTGAAAGTTTCAAGTTAACGAGATAAGCGTGATTACGGGAGCCCCGTTTTTTGTTTATTTCCATTACAACAGGATCTTGTGGGCCACCTCGCAACCCGCTTACCCCGGCCGTTTCCTCATGCTCCGACTGGTAGAAGCACGTGGACTAATATGTCCTTATGCTCCTACTGACGGACCAAAAGGACAAATATGTCCTCGTGCTTCTCCTAATGTACTGTCACCTATATATATTTCTATCATATAAATATTAGGTAGGTGCTGGTGCTGGAAGGAATGTCATAAGAGGGTACAGTGGTCAACTGCTTAAGTCAAAAAAAAATTCAAAATGGCGGTCAAAGATATACTTGCTTCGATCCGGCAGAAAATTCACATGGTCTTTAGGTGTCCTTAATCAAAATATGGGGTCAAAAGTTTAATTTATCCATTTTTTTATATGGCTGCCATACAAGCGTTTTCTTTTTTTTGTTAAAAATAGCTGCCGAAGGGGACTGATGATTCGGCTGAAAATTGCCATATGGAGGTTTCTAGAAGTTTCTAGTTTAAAGAAGACAATAATTTGTGGTCAAAATTTGTTGTTTGCCGTCTTCAAATATGGCCGCCATAGACGCGTTCATAGGCGACAGAAAAAAAAGTTGCTCTGATCCCTTTGAAAATTGGCATGGGGGGTCTCTAGGACTGCTTGATAATCACTTGCGATCATAATTGGTTTTTCGCCATTTTCAAACATGGCCGTCATACAAGCGTTTTTTTTTTGGCGGCAGAACAAAGTTTGGTCTGATCCCTATGAAAATTGGCATGTGGGGTTCTCTAGGAGTACTTGATAATAATTTATGATCAACATTAGTTTTTCGCCATTTTTCAATATGGCCGCCATACAAGCGTTTTTGCGGCAGATAAAAATTTGCTCTAATTCGACTGAAAATCGGCATTTGAGGGTCTCTAGGAGTGCTTAATAATAATTTGTGTTCAACATTAGTTTTCCGCAATTTTCAAACATGGCTGCCACATAAGCGTTCGTTGGGGGCATAAAAAAAATTGCTCTAATTCGACTGAAAATCGGTATGTCGGGGTCTCTATGAGTGTTTAACAATAATTTGCGGTCAAAATTTCTGTTTTGCCATTTTTCAATATGGCTGCCATACAAACTTTTTTGGCGGCAGATAAAAATTTGCTCTAATTCGACTGAAAATGGCGTGGCTTCAATTTCGGGCGAAGCCAGAAGCGTCCGCATACCACCGTACGTAGATAGTATGCGAGACTCTATTACGAGAATAAGATTTCAAAATTGTTCAAAGTGTAAGGCACACTTACTGATGTAGTGGAACGAGATACTTAGAGCGTTGTTGTATCTCGATTGTCTCTGTTAAATTCCAAGAGAACTTGGAAGCTATGCCAGAGAGAAGTATTTAGGGGAAAAAAATGCCAATCACACCAAAATTCTGGACTCAAATAAGGGAATTTCCTGTAGTATGAATACCAGAACAACGATCACTCTATCACAGAACACCCAGACTAGAACCAACTTAGAAATATCCGTTTCTTAAATTGACCCAAATCGGGAATCAAAACCCGGAACCTCCTCATCAAGTGCCCATAGTACTAACCGCTGTGTCACCGAAGAGCAAAAGCGCACCCTGCAGTCTAAGCCCGACCAAGCGCCGCATACCGAGCCCGACCCCACCGTACGCGTACAGAGCTCGTATTTATATGTAATTGATCAATATCAATTAGTACTCGTCTAATTACAATTAAGCTATTTAAAAAGAATACGAATACTTTAAGACATAAAAACTGCGAGGTTGATTTTCTTTAGTTACTTCCATAGTTTATGACTTGGCATTTTGCTTTGGGGGTATTGCCGATATTAATAGAATTTTTATACAGGAAACATGTGTTGTTAGGACAATTTACAATCTGGGCCCCTGAGCGTCTTTGAGAGATAAGAAGAACAGCAATAGTCTCTTTATGGAAAATAGTGACAGACATACTAATTAATAACATTAATAAGTGGAATAAAAATAAACAAGTTGTTCTTGATATCCGTTTTCACAGTGTCACAAATTCATTTAAGGGGCAAAGTATACGCTTCTATCTACGTACATAATAAGATTTCGGTTGATTTTCAAACTTTGCCATTAACAAGGTTTAAAATTATAGTAAAAGAAAAACTTTAAAAAAAGGGTTATTATACAACTTCTGCGTAGGTTCTTGGATGACAAAAATCTATGGTAGTATGTACATTTAAATTACTATTAATTTTAAAGAGCAACCCCAAGAGTTTCTTGATCATTCTTTTCTGGGGAATCTGCCTTACGAAAGAGCGCAAAGTGACGTTTTCAAGTGTAATTTCCTTCTTACGTACGAAATAAAGACATTTTAGAATTTTTTTTTTTTGATATTTTTTTATTCTAGTTCAGTGTACTTATTAGATACAACGTCACGGCAGTAGAAGCACGAGGAAACTGCCCTCACCCCATATGTTTAGTACGTAAGATTGTTAGTGTCCACCTCCTAACAATTGCAAACCAATCCAGTGAGGTGAGAAATGCTAAGCTGGCTATTGCAACTCTAGACCCATTTTTGAGCAATAATTGGCTGGGCTATGAGCGATTGTGCCAATCGCTAACGTCAAATGATTAAATGCAAACTTAATAGTTTTGTAGATCTGCCTGGCGCTCCGTGGAGCTGAGTGAGCCCGTATTAAGTTATTTGTTTTTCATTTCATCTTTATACAAATAGAAACGTTGGGTTTATAATTGTTTTAGAACTTTGACCAAATGACCAATGTTTTATAAACTTTCTTCAAAGGGTGCTCACTCAATGCACACACACGCGGACGCGACGCCGTCGCACCTGTATCGCACGAGGCCACGCAACGGCTGCACAGTTAATCATCGATATCTTCACAAAGGCTCAATACTAAACTAATCAAAAGATAACTTACACTTTGGTAACTAAACAAAATACACACAGCATAACAACCGTTTCGAATTGGATTATATTAATATCCATTAACACATTTCCAGACTTCCAAATCACCATTTACCTCATCAGTCTTTGGCCACAATTTCACAAGAGCGCTTAGTCAAAATACTACATCTCTTACGTTACGATCACAATGTTATGTTACATTACCTTTGTTTTAATGAATGGTATTATAAATAAAAAAGAAGTTGGCAAAAACTCAAAACAAGTGTATAACAATTATATAAAAAATACACTTTATTTCGCTATGATGTACAAACAAATATTGCTACCGCAACTTCAATCCATATCTATCCTCTAAGGCTCAACTCACACTGGCGCAGAGTCGAAGCGTTGCGAAGCGTCATGTTTTTCGCATTAGCATATTCATCTCTATTTTCCCATCATTAAGGTACAAATTTGTTTTATGTGAACATGGAATCGTGAGTCGACGCGCGACGAAGCGCCATCGCGCGTCGACGTATGGTCGAGCGGACCACACTGTGATCCAGGCGCGCTAATGCGAACGTCGTCGCAATGCGTTGCAGTTGAACAAAAGGACCCGACGCGACGCTTCAGCTCTGCGCCAGTGTGAGTTGAGCCTAATTGAGGCTATTAGCACAAAAATGGGATACAATAACAATATTATTCTTTTTTTACATTTTTCTATTATACTATTTTCATGTATAAATAAAAATATCTGTAAAAAATATATAGGCGTTATTCTACATTCACTGATATATATGATAATTGGTAAGAATGATAAGTTATAATATTTGATCGTGATAGCGATAATGTGATAAGGTAATAGACGGATTTCATTGTAAAAGGAACATAATGAACGTGAACTAATACGATTTACTCGTACATTAGTATCATTTCAAGTAATATTGTAAAGAAAAAGCGAATGTTGTTTACACCACTTTTGCGCTGATAGCCTCAATAATTCAATGAAATTTCGGGTGCATACCGATAGAAAACTTCCGTTTAGTACATACACACGTCAAAAAGTCCAGTTATCAATTGTGCCGTTTATAAATTAGTATATAATGTATGTGTGTGTGTATGATACATACACACACACATATATATATATATTAAACCAACATATACGAATAGTGAAAATAACCAAATAGTAAATAAGAAGGACATCGGTAAACTTATGCTTACCCAAGAACGAACGAGAGAGAGGGAGAGAGTTTACACGGGCATGCCTGTTTTATTTTACACCCTCTTCTAACATTATCCTCCTCTCACTCTCTCCCTCCTCCTCTCTCTCTCTCTCCTTCTCTCCTCTTCTAACAGTACATATTATAAAT